CTCATTAACTTTTCCCGGGCTGGCTTTGAACCACAATCCTCCTTGCCTCAGCCTCCTCGAGTAGCTGGGATGACAGGTATGTACTACCATGCCTGGCTTGGCTTGTGACCAGCAGTTTAAAACCAAATAAAGAGTCCAATGGTCGAATTCAAACCCCAATCCCACCAAAGTAACTGAGAAAAGAAATGGAAGGGGTGGAAAATATCAGGGTAGAGCGCCCATGAGCATCATCACGGGTCCAGGTAACGCAGGTGTTCAATGCGGGCCCACTCAGGCTGTTTCCTCTGAGAGGCTGCAGCGTGGGAAAGCCCGCACCAGCTCCCCTGTGAGAACCAGGTGATCCTCCCACACCCAGCCTCCGCCGAGTGATCCTCCCATGCCTGGCCTCCACCTGGCGATCCTCACACATTCCCGGCCTCCCTCTGCCCAGTGACTCTCACATGCGGAGGAACTTCTGAGCACACACCACCTTCAGCTTCATATTCCCGATATGCAAATATCACATGACAGCCACAATGCAAGCTGGTGATAGAGCGCCGAGCCTCGCAGTTCCCGGGGATCTGTTTCCACAACCCCATCTGGCCCCAGGCCTCACTCAGCCCAGGCTCCCCTGCTTCCAGTCACCCCACGCCCGATCCCCAGGCCTGCTCTGGCCCCAGTGCCCCAGGGCCGCTCAGGGTTTGGATGGGGACACAACAGAACAAGCTACCCATGGCCGCCGTCAGTGACGCCGTCCCTGAGCCTAGCTCCGGGCCCCCACGTGACAATGTCCTGAGCCCACCTCCGGGCCCCCACATGACAATGTCCTACCATACATGGCTGTGCTGGAATCTGCCACATTCCTAGCACCTATGAGGTGCTTGCAGCACACAGCAAGTATGCGCTGGCACGTAGTAAGTGCTCACCGGCACACAGTAGGTGTTCATCTGCACATATTGAGATGGTGGGATCCATGGGTCGGGGGTTTGGGAGGTTGCTGGTCCACTCTCTGCCTGGTCTGGGATGAACAGGGCTCTCTACAATGACTGTGATTACCTCTGCAGTCTGAGGGAGAGAATGGAGGATCATAACCAGTTGTAATCAGAAATGCTGGGGTTCCTACCCGCCACAAGGCAGCTGAGCTCCCCATCCTCCCCGGCTCCTCCCCAGCTCCTCCTCCCCGGCTGCTGGGCGCTGGGCTCCAGGCTGGGCGCAGCCCTGGTGTCACCTTCTGCCATTTAGGAGGCCCTGGGACCCCGCCTTTCCCCACACCCCCGTTCCGTCCCCACCCACCCTCGGGGGTCTCCCCCAAACAGGCCTCGCCTTGCCCCCTTCCTGCGGTGCTGTCCGTGCTCCTCACATGGGCTGGGTGCTCCTGCCTCACCAGACCCTCACCCTTCTGCACCCACTTCCTGTGTGTGGCCCCATCGGCGCTGCTGTGTGATGACACCCCAGCCCGACCTTGGCTGACCTCCTGGTCTTGGTCTGGGGGGGGCAGGCAGACAGCAGCATGATGTTCAGGGTGTGAGCCCCCAGAGCCCAGAGTCCCCAGTTCCTTCTGGGGCAAGGCAGGAAGACGGCCACCCCACCGACGCCCCACTGATGCCCCAGAGATGCCCGGCTGTCCTGGGTGGCCACCAGGGATAGTCGCCTGGCAGATGAAAAAGTTCTAAATGGGTGCAGTGGCTCACGCCTGTAATCCCAGACACGCCGGAGGCTGAGATCTGAGGATCACTGTTCAAAACCAGTCTGGGTGGGAAAGACTGTGAGACTCTCAGCCCCAATTAAGCACCAAAAAGCCAGAAGTGTTGTGGCTCAAGTGGTAGAGCACCAGCCTCAAGTGAAAAAGCCTAAGAAACAGAATCCAGCCCTAACTTCAAGTCCTAATACCAGTGCACACACATGAGCGTATGCACACACACACACATACACACACAGAGGCAGGCGCACATGCACACGCACGCGTGCAGAGGCAGACACATGCACATGGACACGTGTGTGCACACACAGAGGCAGACACACACATGCACACATACACATGCACGCACATATACATACATGTGCACGCACAGCATCCCTGGGCTGGTAAAGCAGCTACAAAGGAGCTCTTGTGCCCTCTGCTGCTCACTTCTTGTAACTGCAGTTCATCTGCCAGGCTCTGGAGGGCCCTGGGGGGCGGGGTGCAGGGTGTGAGGAATGAGAAGGTGGGCGGTGATGGGTGGGGACCTCCTCATCAGAAATTCCCAGTCCCAGAAGTGGGTGACTAGGGAATATAATGGACATCCCTGCCCTTCCAGCCCCCAGTCCTCAAATGCTTTGTGGAAAGCGTCCCCCCCCATAAAACTGTACCCTCTCTACCTGCTGCCCTTCCTCCCCAAGCGAGTCCCCATCTCCCAGGCACCTCCTTTTGGACCCTTCATGAGTCTGCTCAGCCCTCAGGGGGGGTCGGCTCCCCCATGAAAGTCACCCTGGCGGGCTCTGGCCCCAGGGCCTCCCTCCCCAGGCCTCCCTCCCCAGGCCTCCCTCCCTGGCTGGTCTTGCGCTGGCCGTGGTCTGGGCCTCCGGGATCAAGCAAGGCAAAGGACGCACCTCCAACCAACTAGAAAAACAGTGGCTCATAGAGCTGTGCCACTGTGGACAAGGAAAAGTGGTGAAAAGATCCTGGTAAAGAGGCCCCCATAGGGGGGGTCACCGATGACCCCCAAGAAAACAGGGCCAGCTAGGAAAAGCAGAGGCTTCCACACTGAGCGAGCGGCGGGTAGAGATACTGCAGGAGGGCCCAAGGAGTGCTGGCCGATTCGGGGTTCCCCCTAGAGGGGTGGGGTCCTACTAGAGGAATGGAGTCCTGCTGGAGGGGGGAGGTTCTTACTGCCTCCCTCTGGGAAGAAAAGGCCCCAAACTAGAGGTCAGGAGGCCAGATAGCAGAAGAGAGGGCGGTTCATGGACTTTCCTGGGCTGGCTTCGAACCACGATCCTCAGATCTCAGCCAGGATGACAGGTGTGAGCCACTGGCGACCGGTAGGAGCAAGTCTTCTTGCCTGGGGATGGGAGGGGTGACCTGGGTGGCCTGAGCCCTCGGGGGTTAGTAGGTATAGCAGATTGAAACTGTCCCTCCATCTGAACTCCCAACGGAGGCAGAAAAGCTGGGATGAGAGCAAGCTTCGTTTCTGCTCACGGCTGGACGCTGGTGAAGTCCAGTCCAGTCCTGCGAGGCCTTCCCGGTGAGAACTCCCGCTGGGCCGCAGGGGGCAGAGGGGATTCGGCAGAAGGCCATGGTCTCAGGGTGCAGCGCCAAATCCTCCCCCGCCAGGCGTGACAGCTGATGACAGACGGCCCCAGAGGGACAATCGGGCTCCTAGCTCAGTAGCCACAGCGCCCGGATACCACAGCGGGGAGGCAGGATGGCATCCTACCCACACCTGGAAGAACTTAGCCACATCACGGTGCCAGAGCCAGAAAGAGACAGCAATCAAGGAAAAACGCTCAGCTTCCATCTTCGCCAGGAAAAGTGGGACGTGGTCCTGGGACACAGGTAATTCAATTTTCTGCACTCTCAGAAGGCACGAGAGAGCCAGACGCTGGGAGAAATTGCAGACATTGTTCATGGCCAAGAGCAAGGGAATGTATTCCCCGGCTTGGCTTCACGTGCAACGCCTAGAAAATTAAAAGGGAAAAACTGCTGTATTTATCCTGATCCTACGTGTGTGTGTGTGTGTGTGTGTGTGTGTGTGAGAGAGAGAGAGAGAGAGAGAGAGAGAGAGAATATACTGGGGCTTGAGCTCACGGCCTTGTGCTCTAATTTGGCCTTTTTGCCCAAAGCTAATTGGTGCTCTACCACTTGAACCACAGTTCCACTTCTGGTTTTTTGCTTATTTGTGGGAGATAAGAATCTCACAGACTTGCCTTCCTGGACTGGCTTCACACTGGGATCTTCAGATCTCCTGAGTAAACTGGGATTATAGGCCCTGGCTTCATTGTTTTTTTTTTTAATTGGCTTCATTTCTCAGGGCAGACAAAGGAATAAAATGAACACACCCAAATAGAGTTAGTTCTACTAAGTAGGATGTAGGCGGTTCTTACCTTAATGTTTTAGAATTTTCAGTGTTTCCTAAAGTAAAAAATAAGACGTAGTTTAAAGATTTTGTTTTCCTGAGCTCATCCCTTTATTACAAAAATAAGAGGATTCCCAAGGATGTCAGAGAATTCACAGGAACGGGTGACAGTACAGAGATCTAAATGAGGGTGGGGGTAATGTCCTTTCCCATCCCTTTTGGGGACCCCGTTATCTTCTCTGCCAGTCACTGAACGCTGCAATGAGAATTGGGGAGTCTGCAGCCAACAGGCAAAAGGCGTTGTTGAGACAACTCTGCCCCCTGGTGGCCAGATGGCAACGTGCAGGTCTGAGCTAGCCGAGCTCTTGAGATACAAATAACATTAAACAGGGGGAATTGGGGCGTGAAATGTCCCGAAGTTGCCCCTGATGATTGTCGTAGCACCATTCACCGCGTCAAACAAGACCAAGTGGTCAAGACCTGGGTTGCGCTGTTTAACTTCATGTCAGGTGTTGACCTGTCAGTCGGGCCAATCACCCATTTGGGAACCTGCTCTGTGTAAGGATCCAAGAGCAGCACAAAGCCAGCAGATCCACTGCAGAATCCCACAGGGGGAGCAGGTGTGACACCGCACACGCGTGTGAGCTCTCTGTCCCAGAGACCCCAGCGCCCCAACACCGGGGCTGCATGCTCGCCAAAGGACGGCTCTGGTGCTCACACCAAAACCCCACCTCCCCCCTGGGCCACGCACCAGACGGTATTTGAGCTGGGAAGGAAAATGAACAAATATGGAAACTGAGTCTGCCGTGGGTCAGGGCAGGTGCTGGGCGGCCTGGGGGTGGGGAGGATGGGAAATCCTATTCGTTTCTGGGGAGAAAGGTGCGGTGGACCCCTTCTTCTTTAGTTTTGGCAGTACTGGAGTTTGTCACAAGCACTCCACCGCTTGAGGCACACCCCCTCCCCCCCCTACATAGAGTTTTTGCCAGGCAAGCCTCAAATCCTACCTCCACCTCCTATGCAGCTGAGCTTACAGGTATGACCGCCATGCTCAGCTTGTTGGAGATAGGGTCTCCCTAACTTTTTCTTTTCTTTCATTCCTTCATTACTTCCTCCCTTTCTTTCTTTTCTTTTTTTGTGACAATCCTCAAATGGAAGGCTCTATCTCTGCGCCCTGAGTAACTGGAATTACAGGTATGCACTGACACACTCAGCCCTGGACCCTCTCATTCAATGGCTGCTCAGCCCTCCACGGTGTTGAAATTGGTTTCCCGCTCAGTATCTCAATGAATCTCGCCAGCAGCCCTCTGAGGGTTCTGTTGTCCGCGTTCTGTGGATGAGGAAACCGAGGCTTGGCCGGGCAGAGTTGCTTGCAGAGTAGCTGAGGTCGGGCTGGTGGGGCCTCCAGGCCAGGTCTCCGCCCTGCTGTTTGCCTCCTGCTGCCCCTCCTGGCTCAGCTGGGCACCGGGAGCCTCTCCTCCTCTGCCAACGACCCAGATGACAGTGGGTCTGAGGCTGGAGGTGCCAGTTCCCAGCCCCGGTTCCAGGTCTCGGTCTCAAGCTCAGGTCCATGCCTGTGGCTGCCCCGCCTCCTCCTCCAGGAAGCACACCCACCCTGCACCTCCCGCCCCGCCCCGCCCCTGCCGGAGGCCTGCAGGTTTGCCTCTGATCTAGAACAATCAGGCACAAAAGTTAGGGGTGACTCCAGGAACCCCTTCCTCCCAGGCTCAGTGCTCTAGAGACAATCCACGGTGCCGTGAAGACACATGTACGCACTGTGGGGGAAACTGAGGCACAGGGCGAGATCGCCGGGGTTCTCCGACTTTCATTTGGCTCTCCCCAGAAAATTAAAAGCCCTCCTGTGGGGCCAGGGGGCTTCCAACCCACCACCTGCACCTTGGGCTCTGGGCATCACAAGCAGGAAGTGGGAGATCTGAAGACACCAATCTTCCAGAACCTTCCAGGCAGGGCAGACTCACTCAGGAGCCTCGGAGAACTCCACACGGCAGTACCGGATGCTGGCAGAGCTCTGCCCGTGGCCAGAGCCCAGGGGGAACCTGCCGGAGAGGAGAGGGATGGGAGGGCGGTGAGTCTGGGGCTTCCCCAGGGAGGGGTCAGGGATGTCCCCTGGGGCCCAGCCCCACTCTCTTCAAAACACCTGCCTGGTTTCTACCCCAGGACCTTTGCACATGCTGTTCCTCAGCCCAGAACTCTCTCCCAGTTCTGAAATGGGAAGCTTTCTTCTCCTTACTCAGTTGCTCAGGGAGGATATTCCACAGTCAGCCATGTTTACTGCTGACAGTGCTGGGGCTTGGTGCTGGTCAAGGTCCCAGAAATAGACCCATGAAGGCAACAGACACCCCCACATGTCACCCCACTCAGGGAGAATTTCTGACACACCTGGACATGAACACACATGTCCCAAATCCACCTGCACCCCAGTAAATGTGACCATACCCCCAACTCCACTGTTCTCTCTGGAGGTCCGCCACCCTGAAATGTCTGCTCTGAATCAACCTTATACTCGCCTGCCCTAGGTATGAGCTATGGCCTGCCTCAGGGTCTTTGCCTTTGCTGTCCCTCCTCCCTCGCCGCCTCTCCCCTCATCTTCGGGCAGCCTCCTTCTCACTAACTGAACGTCTGCCTCCTCCGTTTCTTCCTCTCCATCCACCCCTGCCTCTTCTGTCCCCAAATTCTGTCCCCAGCAAGATACACCAGGACCCACTGTCTTCTAATTACTTATCGCCAGCTGAACCATGCTGAAGTGTTGATTTGGGGCATTCTCCTCTACTTAAATACAAGCTCCTCAAGGAGCATCAGGCAGAGAGGGTGAGGAGGCCAGGGAGCTGGCCGGCCCCCTGCCCCAGGTCAGGTGACCCCCTCCCCACACCCTCCCCGTTCTCTTCCTACCGAAGGTTCTGGAGCTGTTGCTCTATCTCTGCCAGTGACTGGCCTTTTGTTTCAGGAACGAAGAAGTAGATGAAGGCCAGGCCGAGGGCAGCGGTCAGCCCGTAGAGCAGGAAGGTCCAGGACACACCAAGGGCACCTGGGAAAGGCACGAGTAGGGGCCAGGGGCTGGGTCAGCTGGCGTGGCCTGGATGGAGCGTGGGGTCCGTCACCAGAGCCGGGCAGCACAGCACGCAGCCCCCACACAGCCCGGCCCAGAGCCAGGGCTGAGGCTGCGGAGACCCCCAGCACCGAACTGTTGCTGGGGAAAGCCAGCTCCAGCCAGCTTGGCCTGGGTGTGAGCTGTGGCCCAAGAAGACACAGTCTGTGGCTCAGTCCTGGGCTGGGGATGTGTGTGTGTGTGGGGGGGGTTGTAGGGGAGGCCCAGGAGAGGAGGACGGGAGGAAGCCGGGAAGAAAGGGGCTCTGTGGAGGAGGAAAGTTACATCTGGACGCCTTTCTCTCTTCTACTGGCCAGGGTCGCATCTCCAAGCAGTTTCTTGGCCCTGCAGCAGGCCCAACACTGGGCAGAGAGGCCGAAGGACTGGCTCCCATCTCTTGCCCCCCTGGCTGGACTGGGGAAGGCCGAGTTTGCCCTTCTGTGACAATGTGGAGGTGGTAAGGACAGGGCAGGATTCTAAGGTAGAAGGAGCCCTGGGAGTTAGAACAGCCAGTGATTGGCTGGAGGATGGGCGTGTCATCTTGTTGAACCAATCAGGGTTGGTCCCAGGAAGTGGGCTGGAGCCAATGGGAAAGGTGCTACCGAGGCCAGCTGGCAGCCGGCTCTGCACACTGCAGGGCAGGTCTGTGGAGACTGAAACCCAGGAGATAAAGGGAGGCGGAGCAGGGAGGGCACGCGAGATGGCTGACAGTTGTGTTGGGGCCTTGGGACCAACGCTGATTGAAGCCACCCATCTCCTCTCTGCCCTGATTTAACACCAAACATCGCCTTCTGGTCACAGGTTGGGCTGTATCCGATTTCCTGCCCTTAGGATCTAGAAGAGAGCTGAGTGGAGGACTTACCCAGCAGGTGGAGGAAGGAGAGGCTGACAAAGAGGTTGGTGGCCCAGTTGACGCTGTTGCAGAAGGCAAAGGCCCTTCCTCGGATCTCCGCGGGGTAGATCTCGCTGAGAAGCAGCCAGGTCACTAGAGCGGGAGGTCGGAGGGCTCCTGGGCTGGAGCTGGGGCCAGGCACCCTGGGCCAGGCAGGCCGCTCCCCCTGTCCCCCCACCCCCACCCCAGCCAAGCAGCTGTCAGTTCAGGGCAAGAATGTCTCTGTTTTTGCCAGTATTAAGTGCTGATAACTAGGATAGTCTTGGACAATATGAGGTGTTGGATTTTCACTCCATTCATTAAATTCCTTTCAAGTAAACTCATGGTTGACTTATGAAGCCTGAAACTTAAAGTCTGGAGCTAAATCTTTTTTTTTTTTTTTTAATTACATATAGGCCGGGCACCAGTGGCTCATGCCTGTCATCCTAGCTATTCAGGAGGCTGAGATCTGAGGATTGCAGTTCAAAGCCAGCCGGAGCAGGAAAGTCCATGAGACTCTTATCTCCAATAAACCACCAGAAAACTGGAAGTGGCACTGTAGCTCAAGTGGTAGAGCACTCGCCTTGAGCTAAAGGGCTGAGGGACAGCGACCAGGCCCAGAGTTCAAGACCCACAACCAACCAAAAAGAAAAAAAGTACTTATGTAGACCAGATAGGGTGGCTTACACCTGTAATCCCAGTACTCGGAGAGCAGAGATCAGGAGGATCACAGTTCAAGGTTAATCCTAACAAAAGTTATCCAGATCTCATTCCAGCCAGTAGCTCTGGGAGTGACGTCACACAAGTCTCATCCCAGCTCTTCCTGGACAGTAAACAGGAAGACAGTGGTCCAGATCATCTTGGGCAAAAATAAGGGCGCTCCAGTCTGAAAAAAATAACCAAAGCCAAAAGGAATGGCTCCACTGGGAAAGTGCCTGCCTGGCGAGCACAAGGCTCTGAGTTCGACTCCCAGGGCTGCCAGAACAAAATCCTTAAATGACAACTACAGTCAGGACGTGGCTTTTGAACCAGCCTGGAAGTCACCGGGGCCCGGAAGCTCCAGGCCGCCCGCCTCCAGTGCCTCCAGTGCCTCCAGTGCCTGTGCACCGACAGGGCCTCAGACTGCCCACAAAGTGAAGGAGAAGGTTCCAGATCTACCTGCCGGGAAAACCCCCTTACCTGGCCCAAACCCCAAGGAGAAGGCGCTCACAAAGGCCAGCATGCAGCCCAGCGCGGCCCAGCGCAGCAGGCGGTGCTCCCCGGCAGGACTGGGGGGCTCGGGGGAGGCGGTGGCGCCTCTGGCTCCTGGACGGGGTGTGGCCATCTCCGTGGGTGACCGGATCAGCTGCCCTGGGTCCCCACTGGCTCCAAGATTGGGAGGGAGGGAGGCGCCTCCGGGGAGGGCTGCCTGCTGAGTGGCACTTGGCACGGCCTGGCAGCTGGGGCCCAGGCCCACGGGCACCGCGAAGCTGACCAGGCCTATGCCACTGACCGCCAGGGCCATGAGCGCGCAGCCAGCCAGCAGCAGGACCCGGCGGCCCGCGCGTTCCACCAGGCCCATGGCGGCCAGGGTGGCCGCCACCTTGGCCACGCCGAGCCCCACGGAGGCCAGCACGGCGGAAGAGCCCCCGTGGAAGCCCACAGCTCGGAAGACGGTGGCGGCGTAGCTCAGCACGTTGGGCTGGCCCGTGAGCTGCTGGCAAAGCACCAGCCCCAAGCCCAGCGCCGTCCGGCCGCGCAGATTGTCCCTGGCTCTGAAGAGATCCGCGAAGGAATACCGGGGCCGTGGCAGGCCCGGCGTGGTGAGCTCGGCGTCACGCAGCGGGACCAGGTCCCCCAGGGCAGTGGAGTCCCCCGTGCCCGCGGGGAGGAAGAGGAGGCTGACGGATTGCAGGCCGGCCGGCACCAGGGCCCAGCCGAACATGTGTCTCCAGCCCCCGGGCGCCCCCGCCAGGGCGTAGCTGAGGGCGTAGGACAACAAGATGCCCCCGGTGATGCCAGCTTCGTACAGGGCCACCAGCACACCCCGCTGCCGCGGCCCCACCAGCTCCGACACGTAGATGCAGCAGGCCATGGACGACACGGAGATGGCAAAGCCCACCGCCAGTCGGCCCAGGATGAGCCAGGCCAGGGAGCCAGCCAGGCCCAGGCCCAGGCTGCCCGCCAGCAGCACCACGTTGCTCCCGAGGATAGCCTGCTTCCTGCCGCAGCCGTCGATGAGGAAGCCCCCCGCCAGGGAGGCCAGGAAGGCCCCGAGGAGCAGGCTGCCCACCACCACTTCCCGTCCCCAGCAGCTCAGTCCCCACTCCAGCGTGAGGGGCAGCAGGGCGCCCGAGATGACCGCCAGCTCGTACCCGAACGTCAGGCCGCCCAGCAAAGACACGCACACGCACAGCAGCACCACCCGCGTGGGACAGCCTGCAAAACAAACAGGACGCGGAGCTCAGCTCAGCAGGGTCTCTGCTGGGGATCTGTGCACCCCATCACACTCATCTCCTGCTCAGCCACGTGAGCACGCCAGCTTAGACGGAAGCCCGGCGGCACAAGAGCTGGCTGCTCCCACATTCCGGGTGAGAAATCGTGTCCTCATGAGCAGCTCACGCCGGTCACCTGCTAAAGCTACTCCAGGAGGCGGAGATCTGAGGATCATGGTTCAAGAAAGTCCATGCGACTCTTCTCTCCAATGCATCACCCAAAAGCCACCAGAAGTAGAGTTGTGGTTCAAGTGGTAAAGTGCCAGTCTTGACAAAAAAGCTGAGAGCCTGGGGCCCTGAGTTCAAGTCTCAGTACTGGCACCAAAAGGAGAAAACAAAAAGAAATAAGGTATCTCTTTTTCTCCACATTTCAGTTTTAGTGAATCCATTAAGGTTTTGGTGCTTGAGCCATTTTCCCTGATGTGAGTGCTGCACATCTAGTTCCTGTCTTCCTCGAGCAGCGCCGAGGAACAGTGCCAAATGTTCTGCAGTGACACAAACGTGTGCAGCTGCGTTGGTGGCTGGGGCAGGGCCTGGCCCCACAGGGACCCTGAGTACCGCAGAGACCACAGAAGGGTCTCAAGTTCTAGCTTTCTTAGTCTACTTATGAAGTCAGTTGGCCCCCTGGGCCTGGTGGATACCATATTTATTGGCTATGAAATTGTACAGGTGACTTCATTTTAAACTCATGCTTTAAAAAAAATGTGCCTCACACCTGTCATCCTATCTACTCAGGAGGCTGAGAGCTGAGGATCGCAGTTGAAAGCCAGCCTGGGCAGGAAAGTCCATGAGACTCTTATCTCCAATGAACCACTAAAAACCCAGAATTGGCACTGTGGCTCAAGTGACAGAGCACTTGCCTTCAGCTGAAGAGCCCAAGGACAGCACCCAAGCTGAGAGTTCAAGCCCCACGATGGACAAAAAAAAAAAAATTGTGTCACTCCTGGGTCTTGAACTCAAGGCCTGGGTGCTGTCCCTGAGCTTTTTAGCTTAAGGCTGGCACTCTACAACTTGAGCCACAAGTCCACTTCTGGTTTTTTTTTTTTTTTGGTGGTTCAATGGAGATAAAGAGTTTCATGGACTTCCCTGCCCAGGCTGGCTTTGAACCACAATTCTCAGATCTCAGCCTCCTGAGGAGCTAGGATTATGAACTCACACTGAGGAGACGCCTCTGTTTCTCATCTAGAGTTGCCCTGCTGTCCTCACTGCTCCTGATTCTTGGAAGGAAGGTTGGTTCTTCCAGGCCACATAGAAACGGTAATGGCTTAGATATATGTCTCCCCCTCCCTCCTCCCCAAAGGCTCCTGTGCAGTTGGCATGATTTGGGAAGCTTCTGCAAAGTTGAGGGGGTGGGACTCAGCCAGAGGAAGCAGGTAGCAAAGCATGAGCACTTGAAGATGACAGCCTTTTCCACACTGTTTTCTGTCTATCATAAAGATGGCAATTCTGACAGAAGCTCCAAAGACCAACTACCACCAACAGAAACGTGGGCAGGGGAGTCTGGGCGCATGACATCTCACAATGAAACACCTGTCCTGCTTGTGTAATGATCACGCAAAGGACTCATCTACACTTTGTCCATGCCCTGAGACTTTGTAGGAGCCTGAGTTGAAGGGTGACAGAGGAATGAATCGGCAGAGGAAATCACAGGGAGCCTGGAGTTCCAGCTGCAGCACGCTGATAGCTGGCTATGCGCAGAGCCAGGGTGACAGGAAGAACCTTTTGCTTTGAAAAGCACGCATGCAGTTTGGTCAGAAAAGCCCTCGTGAAGCTGGAGTGAAGGTAGGTCAGGGTTCTTAAAAGATTAAGACCATGAGGGCTGGGAATGTGGCTAAGTGGTAGAGTGCTTGCCTAGCATGCGTGAAGCCGTGAGTTCAATTCCTCAGTACCACATACACAGAACAAGGCAGAAGTGGCGCTGTAGCTCAAGTGGTAGAGTGCTAGCCTTGAGCAAAAGCAACTCAGGGACAGTGCCCAGGCCCTGAGTTCAAGTCCCAGGACTGGAAAAAAAATTAAGACCATGAAAAAGATCCCAAACCCCTTTGCAGTGGGACAAGAGGAAGGATCCTTGAGAGCCTTTCATGAGTTAGGAGGCCCATCACAGACTCAGGGGCTTAAACACACAAAACTCATTTAACAGACTTTCCCTTGAGAGGCATCCGTGGGCCAGGCTGGCCCAGGATTTGTCTCCTGGTTCTCAGCTGTCTGGGCATTCAGAGGCCATTGCAGGGATGGCTCAAAAGGGCCATGCCGAAGCCCCTGGAAAACATGGGTGACGCTTGTGTGATGCCAGTTCTGCAAACCTGAAACAGGGAAGAGCAACATCATGGAGGCTTCCGGTGAGATTTCAAAGGCAGGTCTGCAAGTCAGGGCCAGGATCCTCCCAGGCAGCTCCCACGGGGTGAGGCCTGGGTTGCAGTTGGAGGCCTCAGGAAGTTAGAGGTGCCAGGAACGTGAACTACCTGCCAAGGAGAGGCCCAGGCAGCCTGAGAGAGGCCACGTGACTGCACCCAGCAGGGTCACAGGGCAGGGCTGCCCCAGCCCCTCAGAGCTCACATCCTGACACCTCATGTCCCGGATGCTGGACAGGCGCTGTAGGATTGCGGTTAGCCCTGCTGGGCTGCGGGCTTGCTTTGGGCTGCTCCTTCCTCCTTATTCTCTTGTGGTTTCTTTTTGGAATCATGATGTTTATTCTGGGCTATTGTATGCTGATGCCATTTGGGTTGTGCTGTGACAGTCCAGGGCCTGGAACTCAGGGCCTGGAACTCTTGCTTGACTTTTTGTTTTCTTCTTTTGCTCAAGGCTAGGGCTCTACCACTTGAGCCATAGTTTCGCTTCTGGCTTTTTGGTGGTTCCTTGGACAGCAGAGTCTCATGGACTTTCTGGCCCTGGCTGGCTTCAAACCATCATCCTCAGATCGCAGCCTCCTGAGTAGCTGGGATTATGGGGTGTGAGCTACTAGCAAACTGCCATTGATTGTTCATTTTCCTGGAAGGGGGGGGGCAGCCTCAGGGTTAATAGGGCCTGAGTCTCGGGAAGTTTGAATTCAGGCTTTTGAACAGGGTCAGAGCTGCGCAGTCCGTAGTGATTTCTGGAGACACACTGAGCATGACGAGACACATTTGAAGCATGACGTTGGTTTGAGGTGGGGCCAGAGGCTCAGTGGTTAGGGTTTGGATAGTTCTTGACATGCAGCGGGCGGCACTATGTCAGGAAGTTCTGGAAACTTTAAGAGCGTGGGACCTCCCTCCTGTGGGACCTCCCTGGAGGGAGTGTTTGCTTTCGAAGTGTAAGCCTGGTGCCTCCTCCTCCTCTGCTCCCTTCCTGTCCTCCATGCAGTGAACTGCCTCTTCCCCCTCCCCCCATGCCGCTGTGCCTGCCGGCCTCACCCCAAGCCCAGAACCAACAGCGCGGAGGAGGATGAGGGATGCAACTCCTGCAACCGGGAGCCAAAATAAACAATTCGTCCCAGTCAATAGCTTCACTCGGACACTCTGTCCCAGTGCAAAGTCTGACAGCCATGGAGGGAAAGCACAGAGTGACCTGCCAGTCCCTGGGCTCCTGCTGAGCTGAAAGGGAGGGAGCCCATGCCGGCTCCCTGGGCTTGGAGGAAGGCCCAAGGTCACTGCCCACAACTCTGCTGGGCCACCTATTCTTTAAAAGCGACGGAGGAATAGTAACAGGTGTGGTGGTGCTTTGAGCCTGCGCAGTTCTAAGGCCACCCAGGTAACACTACCATCAAATCTTTAGAGAGGAGAAGAGCAGACTCAGGACTGGAATAGTCTCTGGTCCGTGTGCATAAAAGCAGGGACCACTCAGAGACCAGTGGAGAATGAGAGAGAACTAAGACTCGGGGGACAGAGATGTGGAGGAAGGAAAAGTCCCAGGACCCCAGTAACAGACAGACAGACAGTCTCCTGGTGCCGTGGGCAGGGAGGGGGAGGTCAGGTTCAGGGCCCTGACTGCAGCTCCTCACCCCCACCCTGCAAACATGGTCTCCACCCACTGGTCCTCTACCTCCCCCACACAGACTATCCCTCCTGCGTCCCAGCTCATCTGGGTATGCACACCTGTTGTTGGGGGTCCCCTGTCTCTGTTGGGGAGACCCTCCTATCCCCATGTTAACTCAATGGCACAAGCAGAACCATTTTACACACAGCGGCACAGAGAGGTAAAGGCATTTGACACAGCGTCTATGTCACAGAGCAGGGATTTGAACTTGTGCACTCCACCCTCTTTTCCAGCCCTCTCCTGTGCCCTGGGCTATCCAGCAGCCTTTGCTCATTTCTGCACATGCCATGTTTGCCACCTGGAAGCTTTGCCCTCAAATCTCAGCTCCAAGGGCTCCTGTTCCCCATGCCTCCTAGCCTAGCCAGCCTGGCTGGGGAATCTGCACAGGGCAACCTCTAGCCCAGGCTCACAGCTTTGCCTTCACATCCTTCTTTCTCCAGCATCTCCAGGGAGGAGGGATGACGGCTTTGTTTTAGTGAGCATCTACTTTGGGAATGTTCACCAAAGTTCAAGCTGGCAATCCCAGTCCCCACAGACAGACAAGTGCCCGGCTGATGGCCAGGCCTGGTCCCCGTGCGTCTGTCTGTCTGGTCCTCAATGGTCTCCTGGGCCTCTGGGCCTCCACTTCCTTCTTTCCCAGGCTCGGGACCCTGGGATGTGCTCCCCCCCCACCCCCTTTGTCCCGGCCCAGCCCAGCCCTAGCCCGGGTCCGAGGCCCCAGAGGAGAGTGGGGCAGGGATCTGGGGCTGTGCCGCGGCGCTCAGGGAACTTACCCATGTTGAGGGGCCGCGGGGACGAACTTCCTAGCCGGCCCGGGCCTCCCTCCCTCGGCCTGCACTGCCACGTCGCCCAGCTGGAGGCGGGACAGGACGCAGCGAACCCGGACCGCCCCACCCCCCACCTCCGCTGCCACTGCTGCCGCTGCTGCTGCTGGCTGCACTCAGGTCCTCCGCCCTGGGGGGGGGCCGGCTCCCCTCCCACCGCACCCCAGTTTTTCCTGCAAGCTGGGGCTCCCAGTGTGCTGCACACACACATGTGCACACTCACCCTAAGCTCGCCTTGGGGTGGGCAGAGTTTCTGGTTCTTGAGAGTTTACCTCCCAGCTACAGAAGATGAAGCCAGGAGGGAAAAAACCCTGCTATCTTCACGCCAGCGACTCAGGAGGCTGAGATCTGGAGGATCGCAGTTTGAAATCAGCCTGGACAAAAAAAAAAAAAAAAACCAAAACAGTGAGACTCTGTCTCCAATTAACTAGCAAAGAAAAAAAAAACAAGCTGGACTGAGTGGTACAGCACAAGAAATCCAGGTGAGCAAGCCGAGCCATCTTCCCCCTCCAAACAAAACAAACCTAGCTAATGGTAAAGGCTGACATGGAGCCCACGGCCCTCAGGCCAGGAGCAGGTGGAGGGGCTGTGTCATGGCTTCGGCTTCAATCGCTGTAGTTGAGTCTTGAGGATGTCGTTGCACCCTGCTGCTGTCGCCTTCTATCCAGATTACAGAATCCCTATTCCCTGGTCACTCTCAATGGAGCAAAGGAACGTTCTAGCTGGACTGTGTCAGAGGTCACTTTGAAAATGGCTCCCAGGGACTGGAGCCTCTAGTTTTCATGCCCAGGGTCAGCCCCTCCTCGCGCATGGATGGGAGATAGGGACTCCCTTCTTCACACAGCCCGAGTGGCAGGTGCTGTAGTCAAGACTGGGTTATAGACCCTGGTGGCTCAGGCCTCGCTCAGGGCCTCCTGGTCTCCTACCCATTGTCTATCCGCTCAGCTCACGCCACCGCCCGCTTGTGAGCTGTGGGCTCCACACAGCTAGAATTTATTGAGTGATTAAGCCAACTCGTGCAAGGCACTAGCCCTTACATCAACAGCCTGTGAGGAACTAAACCTGCTCCACCTGACTCACAAGTTGTCCCAGCTGAGGGGAATCAGAGCCTGGGCAGACACTAAGCTCTTGCTCAAGACTAAATTCAGCTAAGTCTCCAATCCCAGACTTGTGAGGTGTCTGAGTGTGTGTTGCTTGAAGCCATTAAAGCACTGGGGGGTAACTGGTTATACTGCAATTACTAGCCCATACAGATTCTGTCTCTGTTATCTTGATTAAAAAAAAAAGGGGGGGTGGAGGGATGGTGCCAGGTGTTAATGGCTCACACCTGTAATCCTAGCTGCTCAGGAAGCTGAGATCTGAGGATTGTGGTCGAAAGCTAGATCAGGCAGGAAAGTCTGTGAGACTCTTTTTAAAAAAAAAAAAAATGGTTTTTTTTTTTTGCCTGTTCTGGGGCTTGAACTCAAGGCCTGGGTGCTGAGCTAGAGCTGCTTCTGCTCAAAGCTAGCGCTCTACCACTTCAGCCACAGTGCCATTTCTGGACTTTTCTGAGTAGTTTATTAGAGATAAGAATCTCACAGATTTTCCTGTCCGAGCTGGTTTCGAACTGCAATCCTCAGATCTCAGCTTTCTGAATAGCTACAATTACAGAAGTGAGCCACCGGCACCCAGCTTCTGTGTGACTCTTATCTCCAATTAATTACCAAAAAGCTGAAAGTGGAGCTGTGGCTCAAGTTGTAGAGCACTAGCCTTGAGCAAAAGAGCTTGGGAACAGTGCCTAGACTCTGAATTCAAGCCCCATGACTGATGCAAGTATGCACCATGCATCCATATGCATGGATGTATGGATGCATGCACTTGCCTGTGCGTGTGTACACACGCGCACACACACACACACAGATGGTAAGTAGGCATGTTGCTCACATCTGTTATTCTAGCTACTTGGGAGATGGAAACTCAGGAGTCTCAAGGTTCAAGACCAGTTGGAGCAAAACATTTGTGAGACACTTCCTCCAATTGCCAAAGAAAAATCTGAGCCTGGTGGTGTACATCTGCCATCCCAGCTAGGTAGGGATCAAGTGGCCGAGCACCTGCCTAAGAAGCACAAAGCCCTGATCAATCACTGCCAACAAAGGAGACAGGGAGATAAATGACCTCAGAGAAGGAAGTAGGGACTGGATCTGGTCAGCTGTGTCTTTTTCCACAAGGGGCCTTTGTGCCTTCCTGAGCTCCTGTTTGGTAGACACGCCCACATTCATGGTCTCTGAAGCTATGTACATTATTTACATTTGTTGGATCTTTTCCCACTAAAGCATTCTGGGTAAACACAAGTCCCTTTCCTTTCTTCTGAATCCCCAGTGTTCTGGCTCTGGAGACACATCCAGCACACAGAGTTGCTCAACAATAATTGTTGAAGGAAGGTTCCCTGGCTCTTACTGGCCCGGCAGCCAGCTTCTAAGAGGCCCCCAAAGTCTGCTCTTAAAATGAATGTAGATCAGGTGAGCCGGATGGAAGGGCGCTGGCCTTCCTCGGGTTCTGGGGCAGGGGGTAAGCACAGCTAACTGTGTTGACGGCTCAATGCTGCTGACCATGTTAGTTTTCTTCTGAGCTGTCTTGGAGACTTACTGCAAACACCTTATAAAATTGTTTGGTGGATTTTTCCCCCCCAGGAGTTTGGGCCTTTGAATAGCAGCTGAAGTCCCTTCCCCTCTGTCCAGTGGGAATCAGGAATGAGAATCTGTTGTCTTCTAGCGGACAGTCCAGTCTGACTGGATTGTTCTCCTGAAACTTAACAAACACTCCAGGTGCAAGGACCCCTGTCACTGGAGCCATGACTCCTGCTCCCCGGAGACCTTGCCCCAGTCACAATGGCTCTAGACATCCCTAAGGGTGGAATAGGGGAGCACCCCCTCAATAACTCAGAGAGAAGCCAGTGATTGGTACAATGTGGGACTTGAAATTGGTCTCTATGTAGGGTCTGTGATTGGTGGAACTAGGAGCTGTCCTGTGATTGGTGAAAATACAATCCTTCATTTGCATGCCCCTCCCCCGGCACTCTAGTGAAGTAAGGAGGCTGAGTCTAAGTGACTTTCTTACAGCCATCCCTGTTCCACTTGCTGGGTGGAGGGAATTCTCCACTTTAGTGCTAAAAAGCTTAGAGGTGAGAGAGGCCATTCGTGGAATGCAGATGTGCAGCTCAAGGTGAGCTAGGAGGGTTCTGCTTCAGAGAAATGCCTTGGGAAAGCTTTGCATTTTGAGAGTGGTCTGATCCTGCCTTGATTAACTCCTTAAATGGCTTGAATCACCGGCCTCTAAGTAGCCTCTAAGAATATCCTATATGAGGTGTTATCTTCCCTAGATGGATAGTTAAATGCCATCATAAAATAGCTACAGAGCAAATGAGCATCACTAGGAGAAGTCCCACAAACCCTCAGCGGCATAGAATGGTCGTTCCTTTCTTCCCAGTGTCTGTGGCACACTGGTACTGGTTGGCAATTGACTGACTCTCCTTTATCTGTAAATTGGCTCTGGCCCAGCTATTGGAAGCTGCATTTCAGAGGTCCATGCTCAATTATCATGAGAGATGAGCTGCTTTAGGACAGAGCATCAGAGAAGAGAGTGGAGTCAAGGTGCAGCCAGATACAGATTTGGATGAGGAGACTTGAGCCCCGGGGTTGGAGGGGGGGGTCCAGCCATGCCTAACACAAACCAACTCCTGTGTGTGTTTAAGCAGTGGAAAGTTATATCTACTAGGCGGCGCCTTTGCGCAGGCCCAGGTCCTGGCTCTTCCCTTCAGGGCACACTGGCAGACCGTTCTGGGCCTCTTTCTGGTTCAGGGAGCAGCCCTCAACCGTGGCTGCTGGGAAGGGAAGAGGGATTTCAGCACCCAGCTCCCTGCCCCTGGGGGTGTCCAGCAGGGCCAAATGCAGCCGGCCCACATGGAAACCAGTTCTCTCTGGCTGCCTGCGTCCCTATCCCACCACTCCCTGGAAATTGCTGGGGATGACTGACCAACTGATGCCCTACTTAGACCTGAATGTGCTTTCTATGGTTTGCTCCTGGGGTCACCTTCTACCTGTTTACCACTTCCTCCTCCTCTCTCCCCCCCTCCTCTTCTTCCTCCTCCTCCTTGTGCTGGTACTGGGTCTTGAACTTAGGGCCTCTCACTCCTGTTTGGCTTTTTTGCTCAAGGCTGGTGCTCTATGCCTTGAGCCACACTTCCACTCCTAGCTTTTTCCTGGTTACATGGAGAAAACGCTCATGGACTTTTTTTTTTTTTTTTTGTCGGTCGTGGGGCTTGAACTCTGGGCCTGGGCGCTGTCCCTCAGTTCTTCAGCTCAAGGCCAGCGCTCTACCACTAGAGCTACAGTGCCACTTCCGGTTTTCTGGTGGTTTATTGGAGATAGGAGTCTCACGGTCTCTCCGGCCCGGGCTGGCTTTGAGCCGTGATCCTCAGATCTCAGCCTCCTGAGTAGCTAGGATTACAGGCGTGAGCCACCAGCGCCCGGCGCTCATGGACTTTTTTGCCCAGGCTGGCTTTGAATCCAGCCCTACTGACAACTACCTTTCCTGTAAGCAGGTAAACAAAGCTGTCAACTCCCCTACTGCTCTTTTTGGCAAGTTAAAAAAAAAGCTCCCCTCCCCCACTTCCAGCTGGCTTGTCACTAGGGGGAGGTAGGCATTAATTGAAGTCATCTGTGATCATGCTAGATTTGAAGGGACCTGGGAGCTTGTAAACATTGTGTTTCCTCTCCTTCGAGAAGCAGGCCAGACTTCCCTGAAGAAGTGCCCGTTGAGCTGAGAATTGAAGGTACTCACATGGGTAGGGTGCTGGTGGCTCACGCCTGTCATCCTAGCTACTCAGGAGGCTGAGATCTGAGGATCCCAGTTCAAAGCCAGCCCGGGAAGGAAAGTCCGTGAGACTCTTATCTCCAATGAACCACCAGAAAACCGGAAGCGGCGCTGTGGCTCAAAGTGGTAGAGTGCTGGCCTTGAGCTGAAGGGCTGAGGGACAGCACCCAGGCCCAGAGTTCAAGCCCCATAACTGACCAAAAAAAAAAAAAAAAGGTACCCACATGGTTCTAGATGAGAGAGAAAGAGAGAGAGGAGCATTTCTGGCAGAGGAAAGCATAGGTGCAAAGACCCTGTGGCAAGAAGGGCCACAGCAGGAATTTGAGAGGAGATGGAAGTGTCTGAAGAGCAGAGAAAGAGGAGTCTGATGGGAGAAGGGTCTGAAAGAGAGGTACAGGGTCCCCACAGGCCACCAGGGGCTGAATGAAAGGCTCCGTCATTATCTAGACCACAGTGACGGGGGTACCATGAGGGGTCCTAGGGAATGTCCCACAGGAGACTTCTAAAGCAGTGTTTTGGGTAGATCTGGTAATCATGGTGATGGCCACACAGTAACAATGAAGCTCCAAGAAGCTGGGTGCTATAAATAGAATTGGCCCAGGCAAGGGTGGAGTTGGCAGAGCTAGAAAGCATGCTCAGCCAACAGGGGGCAAATGCTTGCAAAGGACCGCCCCCCCCCATGCCACCAGGCGGAGGGCACTGGTGTCATAGCAACTCTTGGACCAAAGCGTCTCTCTGCAGCACTCCCATTGGAGCCTCAGGGGCTGTGGGGGAGGGGGAGGGGGAGCAGTGAACGTGGAAGAGAGAGAGATAAGCCATTCCTATTTTAAAGGTGATTTTTGGCTGGACTAGATGATGAACTCAGGGTCTTGCACTGGCTAGATGGGAGCTCAACCACTTGAGCCACTTTTTACTGCACTGTGGTCTAGATAGAGTCTCCCACTTTTGCTTGTGGTCAGCCTTTGATTGCTACCCTCCATGTTTATCTCCCACACTGCTGGGATGGTAAGCATGCTCCACCACACCTGGCTTGCTTGTGGAGCTTGGGGTGTTGTTAACTATCCACCCCCCTCCCTGGGCTGGTTTTGAATCATGATTCACCTGACCTCTGCCTCCTGGGTAGCTGATATTACAGGCAGACATCACTGCCCAGCCTCTTCTTATTTAATTCAATAAGCAAGCAGAACCATAATCCCCATTCTGACGGTGCAGAAGGTAGGATTCAGAGAAATGAAACTGGCTACTCTGTCCCACTGGGCACCTGCGCTGGACACTTGCACTGGGTACCTGTGGCTGCCTTGCCTCCCAGGAGCTTGTCCAGATCCCTTCCTCCTGGATTGCAAACACTTCTCCATGCACTGAGGCTGGCTATGCCAGGCCTTCCCTGTCCAGCCTCCTCTGTCACCAAGGCAAAGCCACAGGGGCAGCCGTGGCCAGTGCTTGCAGGGCTGGTCTGATGAGAAGAGAAGGGGCTCCTGGCAGGAGGCTCAGCTTCTCTTCTCCCACAGACACTTCCTGTGATGTGGGGACTTTGGTAGACATGTTGGGATCATAAGGTGACCAGAGGAAGGACCACAGCAATATAATGAGGGAGGCGGGACAGAAAGATGGAAAGATCCTGTGCCCTTGGCACCATAAAGTACCCAAGAGGAGCCAGAGACACTTCTTAAGTTATAAGATAAATTGTTCATGTCAATTAAGCTCATTAGTTGAGAAATCTGTTATTTGCAGCTGAATATACCAACATTGTGACAGACTACTAATTTGATGCTATTCCCCCCAAATCATTCCTCTTCTACATCCTCTAAAGACCTAGATGAACTCATGGCTGACAAAAACTATTTCCCAGCTTCCTTTGCATGCCACAGGTCACGTGACTAGGTTCTGGCCAACCAAATGGGAGCAGAAGTGCTTATCCTAAGGGGCTATTGTCCAGTTTTCACCAACTTTCTTGCCTAGAGGAGAGAAAAAGAAGTGAAATAGACTCACAGAAGGAAGCCATAGCTCTGGCAAACTTTGCTGTTTGTTTCACAAGACAGAAACACACAGCCATCATTTAAGCTGCTAATATTGAATAACTATGTTACAGTTGCCTATCTTGCTCCCTATTACAACAACCAAAACAGAAACAAGCAACTATTGCTATCCATCAGATGATAGAAATAAAAAAGCAGGTCAAAAAAAAAAAGCTTCTTTTGGTTTTGGCAGATTAGACCGTTAGTGCCCAAGGTTTATGGGCTGGACTTACAGACTCAGATGTATGGCTCAGGATGTAGGCTTATTGCTCTGGGCTTTGATGGCCAATAACTTAATTATGCTCCGCAGCTAGTGTGATCCTCAACTCTTAGCAGGAGCAGTGAGTGTGACTGGTCAGTGCCAGCTAGAGTACAACACCTAAGCTTTGGATGTTGGGACTCTTACTCTACTGTTGGAGCTATTGAGCCTTGGCAGCACGTTGGACCACCAGCAACTATAGTTCTACCATCCTTCATGCAAATGAGGCAATCATTACAGCCAATCATCACAGCCCTCATGCAAATGAAAGACTCATGTTTGCACCAGTCTTGGTACTTTCATTCAAATGAGGGACCCAACATTTTCACCAATCACAGCAGGCCCTCATGCAAATGAATTTACACATTATGGCACTGCCCTTTATGCAAATGAGGCACCATACTTGCACCAATCATCACAAACCTTATGCAAGTGAAGGACTTGTGTTTGCACCAGTCATGGCACTGTCCTTCATGTAAATGAGGGCCCACACTTGCACCAAACATCACAGTCCTCATGCAAATGAAGGACTGTTTTAGCACCAATCACAGGCCTTTTTCTTCCCCACCAGGGAAAGTGCTCCCCTTCTGGCCTGGATAGAAATGGCTGCAGATGTTTGATGACAAAAAGACTGGCCCAGTTTGAACCAGTCCTGGCTGGGACAGTGTCTTCTGGGACAGGAGCCAGAGTTGCGCTTCACCAGGAGGCAATGGTGGTAACTGTGCAGCAGCCTTGAGGTGTGTGTGGAATGGTCAAAGCAGTGGCGCTGGCCTGGGGTGGTCTGGCTAGCTGCCAAACAGGGGTTGCTGAGGTGACAGTTTTTTGTTCTGGGCAACCAGGCATAAGAAAAAGGCTTGCTGAAGGTTCTGCTTTTGGCCATTTTAATCTTTCACACACACACACACACAAAAAAACATTAAAACATGTTCACAATGAAGATTATGAAAGCTCAATGTAGACTTAATCATTTTAATAACATCTAAGTTTTTAACAGTACTTATGTTTCAGTGTTTAATTTCTGCCCCACTGCCTCAGAATGATAAATCCCTTTCAGTGTTTCACTTTTGCTCTCATTTATGTTGGGAAACCCCCCCCTCACAATTATATGTGTGTATGCTCAATATAAAACAAAAAGCTGCATATGAACTTTATGTAATGGTCAGTGGTACTGTAGGCTTGTCTGTACTGTAGGGACATGGGGCAGACTTTGCTATGTGCTTGGGTACAAAATTCTGTACCCATTGTTAACAATTGTTATGAAGTGGACCCTGAGATGGGGCCCAAGCTGGTATGATTCCATCTTGAGCTTTGCCTTTGTTTTAGGGATTTTAGACTTGATGGGCCTAGTTCCCAGAATGAAAAAAATGCATCTGGTCCCCCTCCCCTTAACAACCTAACTCACCCTTGATCGCTGACTGACCCGTAAAACAGATAGATTGTAATCTGGCTCCAACTGGTGACAACAAGTGCTTATGGTAAACCCTGCCTTTTACACATGCTTATGGTAAACCCCGCCTATTGGCCACCTGAGTGTGGCCTGGTATGGTATGACTGTACGATCCTTTGTGTGTTATATAATCCCATTGGTCACCTGCGTGTGACCAGGCTCAACCTCATGGATTTTGCCTTTAAAAACCAAGGAATGGGGGCCACTCTGGGTAGCAGTATCAGCTTAAGTATCAGCTCCCAAGCCTGTGCTGCAGCCCTGGAACCTTCTCAATAAAGTTGCTTCTTTGTTAACTTCTTTGTTAACAGTTCTGTCACTCAGGAGGACTATGTGGGCTTGCCCCCCTAAGTAGGGGTCTTGCTACTACAGTTAAAGCCCTGTATTAGCTCTGCAGCTTACAGAAAGCCGGTAGCAATTCCCAATTCAGTTCTGGTTTGTCTCTAGAAAACAGTTCCTTGATTTCTCTTCTTTACCCCTACAACTTCCCATCCCACCACCCAGAGTCTCGATTTTCTTATTTATTTATGCCAATCTTGGGGTTTGAACTCAGGGTCTGGGCTGTGTCCCTGAGCTCAAACTTAGTGCTCTATCATTTGGGCCACAGCTCCACTTCCGGCTTTTTTGTATGATTAGAGATAACAATCTCACGGCTATTTCTGCCTGGGCTGTCTTTGAACCGGGATCCTCAGAACTCAGCCTTCTGAGCAGTTAGGATTACAGGCCTGAGCCACCGGCGGCCGGCTCAATTTTCTTTTCTGTAAGAAAAGTTTCCGCCCTTTTCCTTCTCATTTCTGAGCAGTCAATCAGCAATTATGATCTTGGTACCCGTAGGCCCCTCTCCGGGGAGAGCTGGGGGGCCGAGGGGCGGGGTGCACCGAAGGGATTCCAGGGCCCAGGCAGAGGACCACGAAGAAATCTCGGAAAGTCGGGAGATGGACCCCAAAGCCATCGGGGAGCGTCACCGAGGGTTCCGAGAGAACCGAGCATCGCCGAGAGCTTACGGAGCCGCACGGAGCACCGAGGGGCCAAGGGCGCCAACGAGGAGCGAGCGCCCCCCAGAGGCGGAACCACTCGTCCCGGGCGGAAGTTTCCGGGGGGAACGGAAAGTGTTGGGTAGCGTGAGAGATCTGCGGACTTCCGGGGCGGGCGGAAGCCGGCGTCGCCGTGGTTCCGTCATGGCCGAGGCGGCTGAGGAGCCCTCGCTGGAGGCCACGGCGCTGGCGGCGGCCCGGGAGCGGAGCAGCCGCTTCCTGAGCCGCCTGGAGCTGGTGAAGCAGGGCGCCGAGGCTCGCGTGTTCCGCGGCCGCTTCCAGGGCCGCGCGGCCGTGGTGAAGCACCGCTTCCCCAAGGGCTACCGGCACCCGGCGCTGGAGGCGCGGCTCGGCCGGC